GTTCCACCTAGATTAGGCTGTTGAATAACCAAAGGTCAGATTATTCATCTGACCTTTCACAGATCTCTGAAGCCCTCAGGATGGATATGGGCATTAAGTTTCACCCTTTGTTTAGAGATGAGGAAATGAAACCACAGGGACCTGTGTACTTGCTCCATCTGCACACGGTATTAATAGAAATGCTAGAAACTTGGTAGAGTTTTTTTTTTGCTTTCATTTTTAACAAGCTTTAAAAATATGTTTAAAGCGGATCAATTCTGGATGTCATAATTGAGTACAGGGCAAGATAGAGATCAGCAAATTAACTGCAGAGCATAACTGCCTTACTAGAAATTTGGCTCTCGCTAGTTGCCTGAAACTCTCTATGAAAATTAGCATCTCTGATGCATTCTAGATAGCTGTGATGGGTTGTCAACTGCAACCTCAAAGTTGTGTCCCCTTTAGTTTTGTCAAAATAAACATTTTTAATGAAAAATGGTTTCTTTTAAATAGTTCACACTCGACATTGTCATGAAATCAGTACAGAAGCATGGTGAAAATAATTAATCTGTGAGTTCCCTGAGACATATCTGCGATGCTGTGCTACTCACTGTGGGGGCTACAAAGAAGTATAAGGAGCAGTCAAAAGGACTTGATCTTGTTTTAGAGGAGGCAAATGTGGCATAGTAGAAAGATTAAGGAGTTTGCCATCAAATAGATCTAGAGTTCAATCATACTTCTGCCACCTAACAGCTGTGTGACTTTGGGGAGGGTACTTGTCTCATTGAGCCTCAATTTTTTCTTCTATGAAATTCAGATACATAGATACTGGTAAATACTTGCATAGGGTTGTTGTGAAGATACAGCTGTTAAAAAAATGCAACTGAATAAATTTAAGGATCTAATTAGCTTTATTCAATGATTCAGGCAACATGCCCTCTAGCAAATAGGAAAGAGATCCCAGGAGCTATATAAAATGAAAGCCTTTTATAGGAAGAAGGGGGCAGAGAAACCAAGTTTCTATCAAAGAGTGCAACATTTCAGGCAAGGCCCTTTCCTTTGGGGTGTCTATTTGGCGGATTACCTCACTAGTGTTGACCAGGAAATTACAGATTAACTGGTTGAAAGTTACATTTCCTCAAAAGGCTGAGATTAGTTAGGTTAGGTATTAAATATCAGTTTCGTGACTGTATTTTGGGCCTGTTGTCTCTTTTTAACAGAGTGAAGAACGTCAGCAGATCTGTGTTTAATAAGACGTTGAGGAAAAATATGTTAGAAAATGATACATGCTAAAAGAAAAGTGTTGTCCTAGCTGGTTTGGCTCAGTGGATAGAACGTCGGCCTGAGGACTGAAGGGTCCTGGGTTCGATTCCTGTCAAAGGCACATGCTTGGGTTGCAGGTTTGATCCCCAGTAGGGGGTGTGCAGGAGGCAGCCAATCAATGATTCTCTCTCATCATTGATGTTTGTATCTCTCTCTCCCTCTCCCTTCCTCTCTGAAATCAATTTTATATATAT